GACAGTAATTTAGCAGCAAAGACAGTAATATTAATTAAAATATTTTTGAAGAAAAAAAAAGAGTCAATTAACAGTTAAATTACTGTCTCCGACAGTTAAATAACTGTTGGAGACAGTAATTTAGCAGCCAAGATGGTAATATTAATTAAAATATTTTTTCGAAGAAAAAAAACAATTATTAAAAAAAAAATTCAGCGCCGGAGATCTGGCGGTCAACGCCAGTTGATCGGCCGGAAAAAAATTTCAGGAAAAAAAAAGTTTTCAAAAAAAAAAAAAAGTCGAAGCCGGTCTCCAGTTGTGGCGTTTCAAAATTGGCGTCAAAATTGAAATTAGGGTTAAAATTGGTTAATTGTTGAAATTGGGCTAAATTGGGGGTGTAAATCATGAAATTGGAGTTGAATTGGGGGTAATTTTGGTATATGTAAAGTGATTTTCCTTATTACCAATAAGTTTGAATGGGCTAGATTTATTTGAAACATAAAAAACTTGGATGTCCCTCTTTTAATTATGTGCCCTTATTATGGGCTTATTTGATATATACATATATATATATATATATATATATATATATATATATATATATATATATATATATATATATATATATATATATATATATATATATATATATATATATATATATATATTTATTTATTTATATATATATCTTTTTTTTTTTATATATATATATTATATTTATATATATATATATATATATATATATATATATATATATATATATATATACACACGTATATTGAAATATAGAAATAAAACATGAAGAATATTGCACTGTACGAAGAAGTAAAAGAAAATATTTGCTGGAGGAGTTCATGTGTTTATTTCTATTACCAGCATCATTATTTATATAAACTAATTAGAAGATGTCTCATGCTTCCCAAAGATAAGCTACAAGTAGGAGGCGATACGTAGCTATCAAAACTTAGTCCATAGTTAATGAATATATATTATAATACTAGTCCCCCTTGGACTAAGCGTATTGTAAGGGCTGTGAATTGGATTATTAAAATATATGTATCGTTAAAAACCTCAAGTCGGAAAATCCAATGGGACAAAATTGATTATAAGGAGAAATAGAGCATAACTCAAATTCAAGCCGCGTCTATAAGTTGCGTTAGATACCTTTGCTGGAAAACCCAATGGGACAAAACTAGTTATAAGGGAAAAAGAGTGCAGTACACCATTGCTCCCCCTGAAATGAACGGTGTAAACCTTCGGGATGAACTATCAATCTTACTTCATATCGGTTCCTCTCATTTAATGTCGTTTACCAATTTCTATCGGCAATGATGTATAGATGAAATTTTGTATATATACTTGTCTGGTCGACTTTTATTTATCCGCCTCTTATATGCGCTACACGAGCAACATTATTTTCATAAATGACAATTGATGTGAATCTTTGGTAGTTCGACAAGATGTACCTGCAACATTACAAAACATTATTCACTGTTATAATCATCATAGACAATTTATTGACAATTGAAAATGTAAAATTTTATCGATGATTATCTCATATATATCCCATATTTCATTGAAATAACTTATGGGATTATTGATATTCCCGAGATTTGATACTCAGGCTCAACAGATTATTCTGGAGCACATCCACTAGGAACCTCTTGGTTCGAGGGTTCATTGATTTCCCCCTTTATTTTTCTAGGAACGACGCCCTTTGATCCAATAGGTCTATCTCGTTTTTGTCATGGGGGATCATCAATCATTTTCGCATGTTCTTCAGGAACAGCGATCCTAGCTGGCATATTCACAACTGGAATATAAGATTTCGTGACTTTACTGACATTATTAAATGCATCAGGAAGTCTATTGGCAGTATTTTGTAAATGAATGATTTGATAGATCTCATTTTCACATTCAAATGTACGTGGGTCTAGATGAGATAAATGTTTCTCACACCATGTGAGATTCTCGATTGATTTATGTTTATCATTATCAAGGACATTCTGAATATCCTTATCAATCAGTATAAATAATCTCTCATCAAAGTGACAATCTGCAAATATATCGGTAAATAAATCACCCGTCATTGGTTACAAGAACCTAATAACTAACGGTGAATCAAACCCAGCGTATATGCCAAGTCGGCGTTGGGGACCCATTTTAGTCCTCTGAGGAGGAGGCTCCACTTGCACACCGCAACCAAATGTGCGTATGTGCGAAATATCGGGCTCAAAGCCTAAGGCCAATTGCATTGGGGAATGCTTATGATAAGAAGCGGGACACAGTTTAATCAGCGCTGATGCATGCAATACTGCATGGGCCCATGCTGCACTAGTGAGTTTAGATCTCATCATCAAACTACGAGCAATTATTTGGACGGGTTTAATCAAATATTCCGCCAGTCAAATAATAGCCTCTAAGTTGGCTCTTGACATGTTTTACCTCGTTTTAGTGACTCTACGAGCCTGAGGCTCGTCGTGATATTCAATTTGTTTGCCTTTAAATCAGCTTTCTTGTCTCAACGAGCTTACGCTCGGAGCTATATTCCATTTACTTGACAAAATCGACTTTTGATGAATATTACCACGTCTTGACTATTAGCTTCAGGCTCGGAGTTATATTTATGATTTAGCCTTTAGATAAGTTTTCTTGTCTCAACGAGTTTAGACTCGGAGTTATATTAATGATTTAGCCTCTATATCGGCTTTCAAGTCTTAACAAAAGCTTAGACTCGGTGTTATATTAACGATTTAGTCTCTATATCGATTTTCTTATCTCAACGAGCTTAGACTCGGAGGTATATTAACGATTTAGCCTCTACATCGGCTTTCTTGTCTCAGCGAACTTAGACTCGGATCTATATTAACAACTTAGCTTCTATATCAACTTCCTTGTCTCAACGAGCTTAGACTCTGAATTATATTAACGATTTAGCTTATGTATCAACTTTCTTGTCTCAACGAGCTTAGACTTGGAGCTATATTAACGATTTAGCATCAATAACGACTTTCTTGTCTCAACGAGCTTAGATTCAGAGTTACATTTCATTTACTTGATGAGAATTCCAACGTCTTGACTTAACGAGTTTTTCGGCTTGGAGTTATAGTATGACATTTATATGTTCTTTGTGAAGCTCTACGGGTACTATGCCCGCACTTAATACGATAGCCTCGAAATCGACTTCAAACAGAGATTATTATTTCTCTTACTCCACAAGCATCAGGCTCGGAGTTAACCTCATAGTCTCTAAATCGACCGTCAACTGATATTATTATATTTTTCCTCGTCGAGCATCATGCTCGGAGTTAATATCTTGGCCTCTAAGTTGGCCCACAGATGTGCTAAAATTAGCACGTGCTTGTAGCACTGCTGGGATCCACAAACTTGCAAATATAAATTACGACAGCAATTCTGCAAATATATGAACTATATATATATATATATATATATATATATATATATATATATATATATATATATATATATATATATATATATATATATATATATATATATATATATATATATATATATAAGTACGTAAAATATATTTTAAACCCTTGTTATTCATTCGGATTTCTTACTGGGCTTAATAGCTCATATAGGTACTTCTTTGATTGCATGTAGTAGTAGTAATCCCTCGCCGGAATGGACCGAGTAGTGGATCGAAGTTTGGCCCGGAGCTTTTGG